AAAAAAAAAAAAAAAAAAAAAAAAAAAAAAAAACAAGAAACAAAAAAAAGTGAACTAGATTAGTTAAAATTATAAGTAAAATTCCTATTCCAATAATGGTGGTGTTACAACTTACACAACTACATATTTGCAACAAATATGCATATTTTTACTGAAAATATCATAGTCCTAAAACTACATAAATAAATGTATAATATTTCATTGCATAAATATTCATTTTCATTAAAAATGTATGACGTATCTATCCACATAACAATTAGTCCAATTCAAACATAATTATTTTGTACTTATATACATGAACCAATTAAATTCTATCATGTAAATATTCAGAACATTTAACAAGATTTGAATCAATTTTTTCAAATTTGAATGAGAGTCTAGAGATGCTTGTTCCATGTATCTCCACCCACAACCAATCAAAACTTGAGCTGAATCCTAGCTGTCAACAAGCAGAAATGTCTGGAAGGTGTTGGATAAAATCTTAAAATGTCCATGTGAGCCATTTTTTGGATGAAGATGAACTGTTTTTTTAATTACTTTCCAATTTTATTTTATTTTGTCATTTCATTATTTATTTATTTTTAAATTTCTGGTAGGGGACCCCCTATTGTCAGCATAATAATAGATAAAAGGTTGAATATTGAGTGGTGGGGGCATGGCCTGTTTTGGGCCACCGGCCATATAGTGCGCCGGCCAGGTAATCTAATTAAACCCTTTTTGTTGGGGTCTGTTTGAATAATTTTTATTTTTTATTGTTCTTTTTGCCAAACAAGGAAAATTTTGTGGACAGAATTTGGGTATAGCGTGATATTTTTTTATATTGGTGTGTTGCAGATTATGGAACTTTTAATTAGGGTGATAATTGGGGTTGATAATTGAGCATTAGGTGTTAAAATGGGGTTGGTTTTGATGGAATCTTGATTTGATTAAAGTTCTTGGGTTGGCATAAGTTGAATAAAGAAATTGAGTTGTTCAGTATTGGACAATACGTGACAATAATGTTTAAAGGATCTCAAGTTTGGATTAGGAACAGGTTTAGTTTTCTCTTAGGCACTCATTTCTTTTTCAGGATAAACTATTTTGATTGTGATTGTGACCAAATAAAAACGAAACACTTTTCCCAAATTACATTGTTAAGCAGTGACTTCTAAAGTTACCGATCTGGTTGGCCCAAGCCCAACCCTGATCCGGGCCAACCCACTAGGCTTATCACGAAAATTTTAAATTTTTATCAAAATTTAATTTTGTTTATCTGATTCCAGGTCCAACCTACAACGTATTAGTACCATTACAATTTAATCTCGATGCCGGATTTTTTATTATTGCGAGATTGACGTCAAGATTCATTCGACATGATGCGTGAGCCGAAATCGACGTATTCTCAAAGAGGAATCTCCATACCCCCGATCCAACTTCGCTTCACAATTTATGAACCATCGACCTTTCAATATAATTTAAAAATAAAAATTAACTATTATTACACATTTAAAAACAAAATATACTATTCAATCACTTGTATATTTCTAAATATAAATTACTAATAATTAATCACAGACTTTGATACATAACATTTTTATGTTATACTCACTTTGATATAGCCATAAACTCGGGCCCGAGTTTATGGGTAAACTGATAAATGATGAAGTACAAATAGGTCGACCAGTATAAGAGTTGAGCCAAGTCTGACTTACGGAGACCAAACATATAGGGGTAAGCAGCTGAAGCAGGACGACTCAACCGCAATGATGAACTGATTACTGAACATGGAGCATGTCGACCAAGCCATGGTGACAACCTAAATGAATTGGTTAGGTCATGAATTCAGAACAATGGTTACCACCCGGTGTGACGACCTAAGATCTATTGACACTTGATACAATAATACTGGCGAGAGACCGTATGAGCACTAGAATTTCGATAAGGATGAATCTAATCAGGATAAGATGAACACTCAGCAGATAAGGCTAATCTCCAGCAGTTCTTGGGCAACAAGTATTCTTGTGCACCAAGGTATTTTCCTTATAAAAAGGGCATGAAATACAATTGAAACGTTCTCTACACACTCTTCAAAATTCTCTACATATCGAAGTGCTCACGTCAGGAACCACTCTCGGCTCTTGTTTTGCAGGTAGATCAGTTGTTCTTGGACGATCAAAAGTCTTTCTCGAACGATCGAAAGTCTTTCTCAGCCGGTTCATCATAGATTCAGGTCTCGGCACGTCACATTTATATACTCTAAAAAATGCTTCATTCTTAATCGGGAAAGTCTTTCCCGATTTTTTTTCTATCTCAAAAATATATTTTTCTTTATATTTGATTATAATTTTCAGTTGGTTTAATTTGGATAAAGAACGCGCTTTAGCTAATAATAATAATAATAATAATTAAGGATCTCGTGGTGGGTTAGGAATGAGTTTAATTCCTACTAGTACCTCACAGTACTATACTAATGACACGAGTTCTTGGATGTTTATTTATCTATACTCATATATATGAATGAACGAAATATATAATTGAATAAAACGTAAAATAACAAATTAATATCGAATTTGAATAGTCGATTTGAATTTGATGTTTTAGCTAGAGAGCAGAGGACTTGAGTATCGATCAAACTTTATACTCAAGTACAACTACAAAAGCAAATACAATAACTAGTTCTAGTTCTAGTTCAAGTAACTAATTAGATAAATATGATCTGCAATTTGAATTTGAAGTAACACATGTATTAAAAATGTACTGAAGTCTCAATTTCAATTATATATATATATATATATATATATATTTGAAATTCTAATTTGGTCCTTTGTGCGACAGAAGATTTTGTTAGGGATTGTGTCCGTGAGGACCATAGTTTAGAATTGTGAAAGCTCCTTGTAACGGAATGGGTCCAATATATATTGTTTAGTTAATTCTAGCTCTAAATTGCATTGTATATAATCTTCATCACTTTCTGTTAAGCAAATGTAACGATTAAAAACGAGTTTAAACAAAATAATACTTTAAAAATAAGTTAAACGGGATTCTACATTATGAGTATACATGCCCCATTATTTAAAAAATATAATGAGTCGAGCCATCTAATCATTCGGCAAGATATTATTATAGTATACTTGCGCCATTATTTGAAAAATATAATGAAAATACCCATCTAGGCATTAATCTTCTTACCGTAAAATTTGTGAATTTTCTAGATAGATTGTTACAAGAAAGGAAGTTCATATTCCTTGAAAAATATTATTTTGAACAAATTAGTTAAAAGTCAATGAGTATATTGGTAATTAGAGCATCTAACTTCATTAATCATTTTACTTGACTATATATTTAGGAAAAAAAAGAGTATGAATGCCTTTTTTGAGTTTTCACTTTTCATTTCCACCTACGAGAACCACAATAATTAAGTAAATAAAATATATAGCACTAATAAATAATTGAGTAGGACGTGCAATAGAATAGTTACAACTTACAATATGTCAAATGACGGTCGCAAGAAAGCGAAATCATGAGAGAAATGGTTATGATTTGAGGGACGGCTAAATTTAAACAAAAATGTCAAAATATAACAAAATAGTCGGCTCGAAAATAAATAAATAAATAGTTTGTGATGATAGTGGCTCTAAAGGGATGTTTAGATCAAGTCACAAATCCGTTGGAAGTACTGTCTTGAGTATATTCTTTGGAATATTACGTTGAGTCTTGAGACATTAATTAATTTGTCATGGTTATATGTATTTTGTTTTAAAACGATATAATTTATTGAACTGCAAGAGTATAGTTAAGTGTCCATTGACAATACAAATCACATTTTAACATACATCAAAACACAAAAGTGAAAGAAGATTCATACAAGAGAATTCAATCAAAATCAGACGTACTGACGTATGGAAATATCCATGATTATAAGTTATAACATATTGCTTTATACATTACTAGTGTACGTCGCTAGGTAGACATCTCGTAGAACGATTGAGTTCAGAAAGTCGGTTGAAAAAGCAACTTAAAGAGAAAGGGAAGTCGATATATGTGCGGTGGGTTAAGTTAAGTTAAGGTCATCAGATGACTTGATTATGCTACAACCAATATGGTCATATATATATATATATATATATATATATATATAAATTGTAGAGATCGACCTTGGAAATGAATGCAAAGGGGTTTTCTTAAAGGAGGTCTTTAATTAATAAAGAAGATATTGAGAGAGAAAAAAAAACTTGCAATTTGTCTCATGTATGTAAATACAATGCAAGTCTATTCATGTAAATTGTTTTATGTAAGTTTATTATTTAAAAAAAAAAGAAGCAAGAAAGTAATATGGCAGTGTTTATGATATATAGGCTTAGTATGAAATTTAGAAATACAACATAATATTAGAAACATAATAATAGTTACACAGACCTATGGTCCCCTTTAGAAATACCGTCAAAATCAACACTTTTCACTTCACATGGTGGGCACAAGATGAAATCACTATATATGAATATGCAATAAAGTAAAAGTTTATTCATGGCTTGTGAAATTAATTAATGACATATATTTGAAATTACGAGCACCTAATTTATAGAATACTCACAAGATGAACTCACTATATATATATAAATATGCAATAAAGTAAAAGTTTATTTCATGGCTTGTGAAATTAATTAATGACATAAATTGGAAATTACGTGCACCAACTTTATAGAAATTACTCAACTAGTATTCATTTATTCGTTCATGTGTATATGCATAGCAACAAATAAAATTTATATGTTATATGTATGTATACAATTATTTAAAATTTTAAATTAAATAATAAATGTATTACATTTTAATTTTTTTTACTATATTCAAATGTACAATATAAGTATAAATTATTTAACTTACGTATGAATCTTTATATTTATGACATAAATTTAGTGGACAGTGTAATTTTGTAAGAGTGAGGAGATAAATTTGGATATAAATTTGTTAAGAAAGAGAGGGAAAAATTAAGATAATGGACAAATTTATCTTAAGATAATTTTAAGAAAAAAATTAAGAGGGAAAAAATTTTGTTAAGATAATGGACAAATTTATCCAAATGATTTTCTTAAAATTAATTTCAAGAAAACATAAACATTTTTATAAACATTTTTATCTTTATATTTATAAGACTGAGGAGATACAATCAAAACAGGACAATAGTATATCATATTTTTTTTTTAAATGTATATTATATCCAGTTACAATCTAAAAAAAATAGTGATGGGATAAATTTTTTTAACTTTCGATGAAATATTTTTTTTATTGTAATTCAATATAAAATATTTTAATCATTCCGAATACAGATGTTCAAACGGTAATTTTCTTTATAATATCGAATATCAAATTATCAATTATAACATACAAAGTAATGGATTTGACAGATTTTTTTCCTTTTCTTTAGTGATGCAATAATGCTAGTCTACCCAACTTTTGTGAAGAGGCGAAAGCTAAATAAATAGTCCCATGAAAATTATTACAACAATCACAGTTGCTGCCAGTTCATTATACGGTGTTTTTGTTTCTTTCCTTTTCTCCCTCTTTTATGCAATTATCAAATTTTCAAATCTCAAAAATCAGTTTAACATACATAATTGGCTAATAGCTGCCACCGAAATTTCAGTACCAAATTACGTTAGTAACATTTTCACTTAATTATTACTTTCTTGCGAAGTCTCATATTAGGAGATATAGAAGGATTATTATTGGTCCAGTTTCTAGACTTAATTATTTAATAACCCTTCTAAATTCTAATCACTAATATTGCCATTTAAAGAGCTTAATATAACATATGACTAGAATTCTTTCTGAAAGGCCATTGTTTTTCTTTTAAACGAAGATAAAAATGTGATCTTGATAAATAATAATGTGTAAAAAATACATGGAAATAGTAAGTCTATAGAATTAATAATTAAAATATATGTGAAAAGTTAGGTATAACTTTTTTTAAAAACAAAAAAGTTGAAATAAGTACTGCTGTAACGAGTCGAGACGAGTTTGATCTCCTGATACTTGAGCTCGGGCTCAAGTCTCCACTCATTAACTTAACAAGCTCGAGTAAACGAGATATGTTGAACTCGAGCCTTAATGAATCGAGCAAAGTCAAACTCACGGGTGTTTTATTTCGTCTAATAGCTCTATTGAAGAGTTCATGGGAAGACCAAACAAAAGTGAGGGGATCAATTTATAGCATTTCACAATTTCCCCTAAACAAATGCAGTTGCAGAAAAAGGTTTTTGTCCAATGGATCAAAATGCAACTGAGATTATACCAAAAACCAGCTGCAATTACGCCTTGTGCACCTTATCTGGTTAGACTCTGGTTTTTGAAGATAACTAAACTTTCCTTAATTAGGCTATGATTAAATCCATGGTAGCTCAAAGCAATACAGCTCCTAATTAAATTCAACAATCAAAGACAACTAAGCCATGTTACTGAAAGTAACTGCAATCACCCACCTCCTCACCATCTGCCTAGAAAACCATCAAAACTCACAACAAATTCACAAGACATTTAAATCTGCCTAACAGTTTGTGCATAAGGCCATTCAACTGTATAAAATAATATACAAAAGGAAAGACCCCATAAGCCAACAATACTAAACAGAAGTTTCTGAAAAAGTTCACCACCTTCTGAAATTCTATATAAAACCTTGATTCCCTTTTCTTTTCTTTTCTTCTTTTCAAGAAAAAAAAAAAAGATTAAATTTTCCCCAGCCATTCAATTCTATGGAGTTCGGTGAAGAAAGCCCCTGGAAATACGATGATAAAGAACAAACAAATGTGAACTTACCAGTGGGATTTTCATTCGACGATGATGATGATGGTGATGATGGTGATGATGAAGACGATTGTCCGCATGCCTCCCCACGGATTTCCTCTGTGTCTGCAGTATCATTCCCAGTTTGCCCCATGAGTCCCGAGACTCCATACACACGGTCCCCTTTGCACCGAAACTCACCATCTCCACTTTTCTTATACGATTGCTTAGCATCACTGCATTTCAGTAAAGGCAGCATTCTTTCTATAGCGGTCACAAAAGACTCCATTTTCACGGGCTCATCCACGAGTAAAATCCACGCATGGAAATTACCAGAATGCATGGACATGGGTTGTGCGAAAACCCCGTCAGGTGAAATTCGCGCCATGTCAGCTCACGGTAAAACGCTTTTCACCACGCACAGCGACTGCAGAACACGCGCGTGGGAATTTTCACCGTCAGAAAAATTCCGGCTAAAGAAGAAAGCAACTTTGCCCCCTAGAAGAAAATCATTCTTCTCGTTTTCAAAAAAGGGTAATAATAATAATAGCACTCACTGGCATAATAATAGAGTCTCAGTCTCGTGCCTAGCCTACGACACCAATGAGGAGCTCCTTTTCACGGGCTCAGCAGATCAAACAGTCCACGTGTGGAAAATCTTAGAGAAAAAATGCACGGAATCATTTAAGGCTCACGAAGGCCGTGTTAGTGCAATCGTGGTGAACCAACAAGATAGGTGTGTATTTACGTGTTCGTGTGACGGGACATTGAAAATGTGGAGAAGGGTTTATAGAGAAAGCTCGCATATTCTAATTATGGTGCTCATGTCCCAACCATGTCCGATTAATGCCTTGGCTCTAAGCTCATATCCTAACGACTGCTATCTGTACTCGGGCTCGTCTGATGGGATTATAAACTTTTGGGGAAAGGAGATAATTTCTGGGAGGTATAATCACGCGGGGTTCTTGCGTGGTCATCATTTTGCTATTCTTTGCCTGGCGACTATAGGGCGTTTGATCCTTAGTGGTTCGGAGGATGCAACTATACGTATATGGAAACGGGAGAATGGGAGTCCTTTGCATTCGAGTCTTGCGGTGATCGACGGTCATCATGGACCTGTCAAGTGCTTAGCCGCGGTTATGGAAAGTGATTACGAAAATTTGGGGGGGATTTTAGTGTGTAGTGCCAGTCTAGACCAAACGCTTAAAGTATGGAAAGTCAAAGTTAGTGATTCCTGAGA